CTCTGCAACTGAATCCCAGGAGGCTGCTTCATCCCCTCAGCAAGCTCACAGCCACACAGGGCCACTGGAATCAGCAGTTTAAGAAAAAGGGAAGATCCAGCCAAGGGTTTCACACTAAAAAAGGACAATCACAAGCACGGGGAAATTTAGGTAATGCTACAGAAGATTGAACAAGAAGATCTAATTTAGGCTGAAAGCTCTTCCTAGAAAGTGGCAGGAATCTTATAATGAAAGTCACTTCAAACCAAGCAGTGCTCATACCTGACACCGGCTGGGTAGGTTTGTGTTTCTCTTCCTCTGAGTCTGGATCCCCAGAACAGTGAAATTGTCCTAAATGAGAAAAATTCTCGGCACCTTCCAGCACTGGATAAGCCAAGAGGGACCTGAGTCACAGAATCACAGAATTGTTTAGGGTGGAAAAGCCCCCTAAGACCAAGCCTAACCATTCCCTACCATGGACACCACTGAACCCATCCCCAGGTGCCACATCCTCATGGCTTTTAAATCCCTCCAGGGATGGAGACTCCACCACTGCCCTGGACGGATTTTGCCAGGGCTTGAGAACCCTTTTGGTGAAGAAATTGTCCCTAGTATCCAACCTGAACCTTCCCTGGCACACCTTGAGGCCATTTCCTCTTGTCCTGTCCCTCATTCCTGACAGCAGAGCCTGACATCCCCCTGGCTGCACCTCCTGCCAGGGAGTTATGGAAAGACACAAAAAACCAAAAATTACAGTGTGCTTTAGGGTGCCCATCCAGCACCCCAAAACACACTCCAGCTGCACCACAGTTTTTCCCTTGGATTCATTTCTATAAATCACAGCTCACCTCTACACCTTGACACTTTCCCCCTTCTTTATGAAGAATCCCTAATGATGCCGTGTTCTCTGAGGTTTTTTGTTTTGCTTTGGGGTTTTTTAAAATTTGTTTGTTTGTTTTTATTTCATTGTAGCTTTCTTGATCTTTTTTCAAGGTGTTTTTCCAAGGACTTTTCACTGGCTTGTATTGTCTGGTGTTGTAGAGTCCTTGAAATCACTACAATGACAGGAGCTATCTAAACACTTCAGCTAAAACCGACAAAATTCTAAAGGCACACAGTGGAAAATAAAAATCTGTCCTTGAAGCCAAGGGGATATTTGCTGAAGCATTTCCCATCCCCTCTTCCAGCCTGTTTTCTGATGGCAAGGAAAGCACCAGGAAAGCAACTTCTCCTGCACAATTGTGAAGTGCCTGCTCACCCCATGTAGCTGTGCAAGCCTGAAGTCATCCAAATTCCTTGCCCGCAGGATTTTTGGGGCAGAGACACACCGGCATATAAATACGATTATTTAGCATGCAGCCCGCTGGTAAATGGTGGGACCTTCCGTGGGTCACAGCTCCATCTACTGACTCTCCCACAAAATAACATTGTGGAAAAGATCGGGAAAGCTCCTGGGAGGCTCAATCCCTTGGAAACACGGGTCTGTGCAGGAATTTAGAGACAATCCCAGCACGGCAGCTCAGCCCAAAATGGCAAAGCAAATTTACCTTTTCTGCAAAGAAATCTTGGCACAGCAGCAAGCCTGGGGTCACACCTGAACCTCCAACCACAGGGCCTCAAATTGTGGCATTTTAGTGTTTGTGGAACTGGTGCTGCAGTGGTTTGAACAGAAGAGTTATTTAAACAGGGATAACACGTGCTTGGGGCTGAGCACTCCAGCAAAGTTTGGGTCCAAGCATAAAATGGAAAACATTGTGTTCATTGGATCTGAAGTGTGGCAGCAGCTGAGCACCATGTGATGGGGGGAAAAAAATGTCAATTTACACAGAAACTGAGAGTAGAACCACGTCACATGTGAAACCTGAGGAAGATCAGGGCAGTGGATCTGGATCACTCGAGCCACATCTCCCACTGTAACCACTACTCCCTTCTATGTGCAGAGCATCTCCCTGAACCATAAAGGAGCTCCCCCCTCCCATCCACACTGAAGGAAAAAGAATAAAGAAAAACACTGCAATGATTTATCTGCCCAGAGGGAAACAATCTTTACAGTCTTCTCTACAGCTCAGAGGAGACCTTGCCCTTGCAAGCCTCCTGTTTGCTGATGAGGCTCCAGATGAGCCCTGCTCTGCTCATTGTGTTTCATTGCAAAAGAGCCAGAACTGAATCAGAGGCTTTTAATGACTCAAATACACGAATTAGTTTGTCCCAAATAGCAGCAAACTTCAAGCAGAAGCTGCTCACCAAAAGCTGGACACCACAGGGTCTGGTTCAAAGCTGTCACAAGACTGAGAGACATGAGAACAACCTTTCTTTTCAGGCCAGTGGAACAGAAATACATAACACTAACCTCCTTTTACAGCAAAAAGGGACAGTTTGAGAGGCAGCTCAGGCTTTAAGCCACTGCTGTGATGCAGCAGATTTAATTCCCCAGCTCCCATCACCACACCCTGTATATTCACCATCTTCCAGAACAATTCCACAGCTGAAACCAGTCTGTTCTCCCCAGAGAGGTTCTATTACCCAAACCCTCCTGTGCACCCACACTTGAAAAAGGACTGCCTTGCACTACATTCATTTTCAAGCTCTACCTCCTGCAGCAAACTCCTGATACATGGCCAGCCCTGGGTCCTTCCCATTCCCACTCACGTTTCTTCTCTGTTTTAGAGGCATTGGGAGAATGAACTTCCCTTTGGCTCCATTTTGCTGTTCAAAACTATCTCTCAACCTAAACAACACCATCACCACAGCCCTAAAACAGGAACTCTGACCCTCAGTAGGACCTGAAGAACATGGATCAATTGCCCCAGCTCAAGAAAGGGAGCAAACAAAGGCTCGAGGTCCCTCCTCTCACCCACTCCCCTTGTTTCACACACAGCATCCACACGCATTCCAAACAAATGGAAAAACACAAGCATAAATCCCCTTGTTTCATTCTGGCACAAGGATAGATAACTTCCAACTTGCTGCCTGGTGTAAAAGTTGGATTCAAGAGACACCAGCTGCACACTCTTAGAGGAAGCCATGCTGTGTGAATTGCAGCCATACCCACAGGTTTAAGCTCACACACAGATTTTACTGCACATCCCTCTGCCTTGGAGGAGCAGCCAAAATGCAGTCAAGAGCAAGTCAATTCCTGAGCCCATCCCAAGGCACATTTGTGCAAGGATGAGAATGGAATTGCTGGAGAAGCCACGTGGTTAAAGGCTGGCTGATGGCTCATGGAAGACTCCAGGCTTTGCTTACACATCATTTTCTGTATTTTGTTTCTTCCATTTGATTACTAGAGACAGTTGCATGAGAACAGGATCTTTGTTGCTTAGGAGAGCATCTGCTCCCACTGCTTATCCTCCTCCTGAAGTCATAATCTTACATGACATCAAAATCGTTTCCAGAGCCACCAATTACAATGTCACAGAGGATTATGACTTCAGGTGTAGAATTTGCAGAAGGAGCAGATGCTCTCTTCAGCAAAAAAAAAACCCCAAAACCCAACCTTCAAAAAACCCTCTTTTCATACAAGTGTCTCTATTAATAAAATACAAAAGATGAAAATAAGCTTGACAGCCAGAACTGTAGCTAAATATAAAAATAGTTTTTAACATTTCCACCAGGCATCAGCTGCTCTTTAGAAAGTTCCCAGGGTTTAGATCATAAAGAGGTAGAGAATGTAGTGAGAATCAGTCCATGACAGAGAAAAAGAGGGAGAAAAGACTGCAGAGTGGTCTATTTCTGCTCAGTAAGTGCACATTAAAATTTTGGGCAGTAAGTGGACATTTTGGTGTATTTCTGCTCAGTAAGTGGACATTACAATTTTGGGCAGTGCCACAGAAGGGAGGGAAAATAAAAAACGGGAACTGCAGATTTCTGGTTCTTTCCAAGGATCCCCAAAGCACAACTGAAACCAACCCAGCAATGTTTTTACAGATACGAAGCCCTGTGTAAAACAAACTCAAAGAATCCTTGTGGCATCACAAGGAATTGACTCAGATGTTTCCAACAATCCCCATCCCAGAAGGACACAGAGGCTTTCAGAGGCAGCAGCAATCTCAGGAGCACTTTGGTAGGGAGCTAATATAGTCCCAGCCTGCTCTGGATTTGATCCACGGAAAGAAGCCAAGTGTAATAAGTTAGTTTGAAGCTGGAGGAAGGCTGGGGGGGGAGGAGCACCCTTTAGGATGCACTAATAACGCCGTGTGATTTGAAATTTTTATTAGAGCTTAGCAGGGCACAGCAACAGTAGGTGACAAAGAAAACAGGCTGAAGGTGGGGAAATAGCCTCATAGAAAAAAAAAAAAAAAGAAAGATAATAATGGAAAGCCTGCTGCATGGGAAATATTTTGTAAGATGACTGCCATTATTAGAAGATTTCCAAATGCCAAGCGTAATTAAAAGCTCTCTTTTCAAATGCAGTTCGCGGCTCACACACAAACGTTTCCCACCACGTGAGCCTCAGAACGCTGCAAGGGGCCAAGCAAAATGCATTTAAGATCTGCCAAACGTGCAAAGGCAGTTTGTACCGATTCTCCCCCCCCCTCCAGCACCCTCCGAAGAAAAAATCCTTCACAACAACCCTTTAAAGGTTTTGAATTGCGCTGCCAGGGGATTATCAGTAAGTGACATTTACAAGTGATTAGAGGACAGAGAATTATCTTAGTCACTTGTGGGAAAGGAGGAAAGCTTCAAGGTCAAATCTCTCAGTACTTAAATGTCGGCAGATGTTTTGTTTACACAAAAAGTGTCATTTGATTTATGACGGAGCTTTGCATCCAGAACTTCAACTCCGGCCAGCAGAATTGCAGAGAACATGGGTGGGAATGGAATCAAGAATTCATACAATACCTTCAAACATTTCACTCTTATTAAAGTAAGAGGCTGGCTCATGTGCCAAACAGTTACACATTACCTATTAGCTCCTTGGAACAAGACCTCCAAGCCATATAAACCTTGGCAAGCCAGAGGAAGGGAGATAAATCTCCAACAGCTCCAGAAACCCCATATCCACCCTTTTCCGCACTCACCTCCGGACAATGGACTGCTGGAGGTTTTTGCAAACGGTGAGAGACTCTCCCATGAACATGTGGCACATGATGACCTCGAGGCAGCTGGCCATGAATGACATCACTGCGTCAGACTGCAGAGTCCCGCTCCGGGAGACGATGCAAAGGCGCTGGAGAGCGGAGCAGTGACTCAGTGCCTGGAAGAACTGCGCGCCCGCACAGAAGTAGGGCTGTTCCAGCCTGCAGGAATAAACAAAAACAACTCAATGGGCAATTCATGCCTGGGATGCTCTCACACAAGAGGGAAAGACACGGCACATTCATGGGGGGCTGGCAAATGGAGCGAGGAGTGCCTCCAGCCCTGAAGGACAAGGGCACAAATAGGCAGGAAAGCCCTAAATGCAGAATTCTGGCGCCCACGGGGAGTGACCTCGGAGTAACCCTGGTTTTGCAAGTTTCCCACTAAGTATGGTGGGTAAGACGAGCAGCAGATCCGTTCTGGTCTTAAAAGCACGGCCTGGCTTCTGTACCTGACACCCACCAAGCAGGTGGTGTGGATTTAGGGACCTTCTGCTCCAGAGGACAAACACTGCCCAAACTGGTCATATCTTCAGCTCCCTGCCATGAAAAACACACAGAGCACACAGGCTGATGCAGAACTGGGGCCAACAGAGCGACCACAACCAGCCCTGGCAAAGGATGAGAGCTGCTGCTCTCCCACAGGAAGAACAACCATCATCAACCCAACCTTTACCTGAAACACCTGGCTCAGGGAAGAGAGACAGGATCCTCTATCACAGTGATCCAGGAGGACAATAAAACGACCCAGTAAAGCCATACCTGGCCAACAAGGGGTTTGTGTTTTACCCAGCAGAATAAGTGGGTAAAACTCCCTCACAGAAGCCAGCCTGAACCTGTTTGAGGCCTGTGCCACTAGGACAGTTCATCTGCTCAGTGCAGATTTACCACCAGGCTTCAGAGCACTTGGGAATCTCAGTCACTGGGTCAGGAAAGCCAAGAGCTGCAGGAAGGTTAATCCATGAGGTGATAACAAGCTGCCAGCCCAGCCTGATCTGGGTAATCTCTGCACAGGCTTTGTAGTGTGCAGGGGTATCTCAGCAACCTAATCTTGTTAATTGATAAATTCTGTTTCAGTCTCAGTTTACAACTGCTGTCCGGTGGCACTGCCTGAAGAGATCCTAAGAGCATATCTACGCTTTGGGTAATAAATTAAAATTCATATCAAGAGAACGGGCAGCCTCTTCAATTTTTCACCACCATTACTGGGGCACTGTAAATGTAGGACAAAAAGCAGGGAATCTCCAGGATCCAAGTTTCCAGGTGAACCTCAGGGATGCAGCAGCCACACCTGCAGTGCCGCCCTGCCCTCGCTAGATGGCAATGTTGCTTTGGAATAGCCCCTAAAACGCGTTCCTGAGCATGGAAAACTGGGAAGGGAAAAAGGGTGGAAACAGCAGGGAATCGGTCAAATCAAAAGGAAACTACGTTATCAGGAGGAAGTGCTAATTTCTAAAACCATCTTAAGCCAATATAAAACCTTAGACGTTACTCAGGGAAGAAGAGTGACAGCTTCCACCCAATGCAGCACAAGGAGAGCCGTGCTGCAGCCTTCATTCCAGGCTCTGTGCTGCCTCCCATCTCCATCACTCCTGGCCTCCATTTCAAAGCCTCAGGAAGCCACAGGGCCCAGGATGAGCAAAGCAGCGCTGCACACCCCAGGCTCCTTCCCCAGCCCTCAGTTCCTCCATGGCTATTTACTCTCCTCAAGGTTAAGGACACATTCACATAACCCAAGACCTTGAGCAGCTCAATTCCCAACAGCTGCCACCCCTCGGATGAGACCAGCACACTCCTCCCCCATTACAAATGGGAAGTGGTGGAAAATGAAAACCCCCCTGAGGTGTTTCAGCCCCTCTGGCTCCCCTCAGTATTGCAGTGGATCAGGGACAGGCACACAAGCACCAGTCTCAGGTGAGGAGCAGTAATTTCACACACAGTAACTGTGACCTTGTGTCAACTGCACAGCACTTTGGAGCTTGGTGAACAAAGGGGGACAATGGGACTGACAGGTTCTGCAGTTTCACTGAAAGAGGCTGATTTTGGAGAAAAAAAAGAATAAACCCATCTCCCTAAAGTGATAATGTTTGTGTTCATATGGACTAGTGCAAGGAAACCATCAGCTTCCTTTCACAAGCACATTCTGGCAACCATGAAGCTCCTTTGTGCACTCTTTAGGATCAGACCCTTGGTAGGATCCTTTAAAGCCTATCAGGAGAGGAACACCAACAGGACAAACTCTAAATCTGGAATGTTTTCAGTACATGACAAAGAAAAGAAATAAAAAAATAAAGAGGCAATATTTTCATACAAACCCAAGGCAGACAAATATCTCATTGGGAAACCCAAAGAAAACTCTACATTATCTAGACAGTGCAGGAGTCCCTTCCTGGAAATTTAAGAAGTGTGCATGTACACAAAGTAAAAAGTCAGCAAAGGCAGTAGTATTTAAGCAGCCCTGACAAGCTGCTAGCTCCCAAATAAGCAGCATGCACTTTTCCTTATCTAAAAGGAAGGCAGTCACAGCACTTTTTGCTCCTAAAACACTGGTTAAAGGGCATATCCTGAGCCCTCAAGGACAACATGCAATACCTTCCCATTCTCCACAAGCCAGGAAGGAAAATACTCAGCTTTCAAGGCATTGCATGTACTCTGAACCGGAACGCTTTTAATAGTAGCCACAACAAACCACACATCACATTTCTGGAGATCCACAAACAAAACGGAGACGTTCAAGGGCAGCCCCTCACCTGAGATCCCTCAAACACTTGCAGTGTTTCAGCATGTCCATGAGAGCAGACATATAGACCACGTTGCCCATCACGCCCAGGTTGGCCAAGGAAAGAGTCCGCAGGTGCTGGCACTGCAGCCCGATGTTGACGAGCCCAGAGCCCGTGAGGATATTTGGCAGCTGTGCTAAGGTGAGGCTCTGCAGGTAAGTCAATTGGCTAATGGCAGCCACCTCTGAGTCCCCCACGCTCTGTGCCCGGACACAGGGAGGCAGCGAGTTCCGAATCGCTGGCTCGTTGCGGGGCATGGCAGAGGAGAAACTGGACCCAATTATCTCCAAGGTTTCCAAAAATCTGAGGCTTCCCATCAGAGCCCAAAACACTGAGGACTCGATCTTCTGATTTGTCTGGTCCCCTAAGTTCCTTGGATATGTCTGTACCCCAATCCGAACTTTCCTTCCAAATGTTTGGGGCACCAGATTAGGTGTGCTGGGAGGCTTCTCCACGCTTGCACCAACATCGGTGATGGAGCAAACTGGTAGTGCTAATGAGAGCAGGTGCTTTAGCCTGGACAGGAGCTGGCACAGGTGGTTCCCTAAGCTTTCAGAGCTGTGATGGTGAGCTGCAGAGAGGTTCAGATGTCTCAGGTTGCAGCAAGACACTACCAAGCTTTCCAAAATGCTGCTGTCGATGTCGTCTTCTGCTTTCCGAAACAAGGACTCCGGGGCCAGGCAGTGAACGCAGCCGCTGAGGTTCAGACTGGTCAGGCTTTTAAGATCCTTGCCACCATTAATGACCCTCTGGATCAGGTGCCCACCAGATAAGGTGCATCGGCTAAAGCTGAAGTAGAAAGGGTTGTTGAACTTCAAGTGTTGCAGGAGCCCGGAGCCGTTGATCCAGGCTTTGGGCAGTTGTAAAGCATCCAGACGAACATTTCGGGCCATGGAGTCCAGGAGGTTTTTGGTGGCTCCCGTCTCTGCAAAGCTGCCGGGGGCAGAGATGAGGAAGGCGTGGAGGTTCTCAGGTGTCCGATCACTCAGCACTGCCAAGTACAGCCTCACCACCTCCTGATTGACGTAGCCAGGAGCCAGCCTGGCGTAGAAGATGCGGAGGTTCTGGTAATGGGGCACGTTGCTCTCGCCCACCATCAGCTGCCCAGAGAGCATGAACCCCTCCCGCGAGCGGTCGAGGATCTCAAAGTAGAGCAGCAGTTTCTCAAGGCTGGTGCAGCACGGCACGACACCGTAGGAGGGTGTGTAGAGGGTTTGCTTCAGCTCCGAGACGCGGCTGAGGGTGGCTTTGCACTCACTGCTCAGCTGGCTGGCATCAAAGCCCGGGTTCACGTCGATGGCCAGGGAGCGCAGGTGCTGCAGCGAGGAGAGCATCTTGGAGAGGCGCAGCGAGGTGACGTGGCACCCCGACAGGTTCAGCTTCACCAGGTTCTTGCACCGCGTTACGTGGTCGATGGTGGCGCTGGGCAGCCAGTAGCACCCGGCCATGTTCAGCTGGTAGATCTCCTTCCCAATGTCCCTCATCAGCTGCTTCACTTTGTCTTTGTTCACCTGCACCCAAACAAAAGCACGTTCAGTGAGGGATATGGCAAAGGTGGGCGCTGACTCAGTTTCCCAGCTGGAGTGGGGATAAGAGTGGCTGGTACTTGGATTATGTGGCTCATCCAAAGGTTTGGGGATGGCAGCACAGCCTAAGAATCACCACACTGCTGGCAGCTCAGTCCGCCATGCTTTGGACCCTTGGGATTACACTTCCTTTTGCTTCTGCAGTTCTGCATTACAGACTGCTCAGCAGCTGAGTGTGGAAAGGAAAACCACCTCAGTTTTCCACCAGCAAAGCTATTTCAGCAGAACTGGCTATGTGCAGAAACTCAAATTGAAAGAAGAATTCTTCTTCATTCTTCTTCATTCAGCTTCCTCTTTTGGAAAAGAGCATAGGGGACTTTCCCCTGCCTGCACTGGCTGATACAGTTCTCATTGAATGTATCACCCCTCCTTCCCAAGCTTTATTTTTGTTACAGCATGCACACAATTTCTGGCTTTGCTGATTGCAAGCTTGACAGCAACATGCACAAGATTTTTTTGCACAACAACACGGAAAAGACATTTTGGGAAAATGCTACCTTTAAGGTCATATTTCCTTTCTTTTTAGCTTCCAGAAATATGGAGAAGTTAAGTTTTCACTGACAGTATTTTATATAACTAAGGAAGCGCAGAGCGGTTCTAACAAAGCATCCTGGAAAATAAATGCTTTTATGAAACAGCTTACTGTGTATTTGATTTCACAGTTCAGGAGCAGTCTATTTAGGCGTACACAATAGAAAGTTCTACCTCTTGGCATTGTTTTACAGAAGTGAGATTTGTCTTCGCAGCTAAGAGAAGAAGCAAGCTACTCTCCTCACCTTATAGTCCTTCTGAAGCAGCACTGTATGTGTTAGACTCTTGTCAAGGCAAAGTGTTGCAAGTTTCCTGCAGGTTCTCCTGACATTGAGGACCAGGTCTGTGCAAGGGACATAGCTGAGGATGTGCAGAAGGATCTCATCTGAGAACTCCATCAAGTTGACTCCATTGCTTTCCTCTTCACTCTCCTCACTTACGACCTCCTGGTGGAAAAGAAAAAGAGGAAAAAGAAAAGCAGAATATGGAGGTAGCACAAATCTTCACATGAAATCATGGTACTTTCACTTGCTCTTTCACCATTGGTGAACATTTCCATTCATTCTACTTACTTTGCAACTGGAAAGGCGACTGTCCATGATCTTTTCCTAAATATAACACAGCGATCTCTTTCTACATCCTTCCTCCAAGCGCCACCCGTTTCAATAACCTTTAGAGTTACATAACCATGCATATATACATACAGATACGGCTATATTTATCTGTTTACACATACAGACACACACCGACACTGCAGCCCAACATCATCGCCAGCTCTTGTGCCTCTCTCACACCTTAACGGCGAACCCAGAGCCCAAACCGGCACTAACGCCAGGGCAGCTCCTTGATGAGGGCAGCGGGGCTGCTCCGCCTCACAGCCCCGTGAGACCCCCGCACACACCCGGCGAGGGCGATCCCGGCGCCCTCCGTGCCCCCGAGCCCGGCTGCCGCCCTGAGGGCTCCGGGCTCCCGCAGCCCCGCCGCAGCCGCCGTTACCGGCGCCCCGAGGGGCCGCTGCGGAGGGGAAGCGCGGGGCGAACTGAGCCCCACAAGCCCCGACTCACCTCTCCGCAGCGCGACATGGCGGCGGCCGCACGGTCCTGCCGCCGCCGCCGCCGCCTGGCCGGGCCCCGCTCGCAGCGGCCGTGTCCCGGGCTCGCTCCCGCCGGCCCGGCCGCCTCACGGCGCTTCCGGCGCGGCCATGACCCGGTTCCGCGGCAGCGCCCGCCCCGCGCCGCCATCTTGAGCGCGGCGCGGCCGCAGCCCGGCGCCATCTTGAGGGCGGCGCCGCCGCCATGGTGGGAGTGGCGGGGCCGTGGAGTCCGAGAGCACCGGGATCGTTCACGCTGGAAACGGCTCCGAGCTCATCGAGTCTAATCTGTCACCGAACACCACCGTGTTAACTAGAGCAGAGCACTGAGTGCCATGTCCAGGGTTTCCTTAAGCACGTCCAGGGATGGTGACTCCACCACCCACCCGGGCACCCCCCTGCAGTATGTGACAGCCCTTTCTGTGAATAAATGCTTCCAGATGTCCAACCTGACCCTCCTCTGGTACAATTTAACACCATTTCCTCTCATCCTGCCCATTGCTCCCTGGAAGCAGAGCCCGACCCCCGTCTCGCTCCTGTCAGGAGTTGTGCAGAGCCAGAACGTCCCCACTGCTCCTCCTGTCCTCCAGGCTGAGCCCCTTCCAGCTTCCTCAGCTGCCCCTGGTGCTCCAGACCCTTCCTCAGCCCCACTCCCTTCTCTGGACACGGTTCAGCGCCTCAATGGCCTTCTGGGATTGAGGCACCTGGAACTGGACAGAGCACTCGAGGTGTGACCTCTCCACTTGTGAGTACAGGGGCAGAATCACTGCTATGGGACACACTGTAGGATACTAGAATGGTTTGGATTGGAACTTAAAAGATCATCTTGTTCCACCCCCTGCCATGGACAGGAGCACCTTCCACTATCCCAGCTTGCTCCAAGCCCCGTCCAACCTGGCCTTGGACATTTCCAGGGATGGGGCAACCACAGCTTCTCTGGGCACCCTGTGCCAGGGCCTCACCACCCTCACAGGGAAGAATTTCTTCCCAACATCACGATCTTTCCTTTCACTGATATGCAGACGGCCATGCAGAATCAACCAGGGCTGCTGTGCCTGCTGCTGTGACCACAGTCATCGCACGCAGCCATGTCCAAGGGGAGCAGCTGGCTCCAGCAGTGTAGCTCCACACAGTTCCTACCCCAAACCTCAAGTACAGACAGGACCAGAGCGCTGGAATTTCCAGTTACGTGTATGCTTCAGGAATTTTGTTCATAGAAAATGTGTTTTAAAGATGACCCATAAAGGAAGATGAATAAGTTGCTATTTTCTTCCTGCTTGATTGTTGCCATTTAAGGCTGTGAATTACATTAAGGGTAAATTGGGGGTTTCACTTAGAAATAGCAAGTGCCTCAAGTCTTGATTATGTATTTTGCTTCTAGGCTGGAGTCAAAGAGGAAAACCATTTTTAGCTCTTAGATGAGAGAGAGCCTCTGCAGAGGATCTGTACCTGCTTTGTTTGTCATGTGTTTCACTTAAATAAAAGGTAATCACAAATTAAATCCGGAGGCCTTTCAGTCAAGACCGACTTGTTTGACATCTGGGAAAAACACCAACCTACCATATTTGCAGTCACCAGGAAAGCAGAGACCAGGGTGGAGGAGACCTGCATTTCCAATGCAAATGATAAATAAAACCATCAGTGAGTCCCACAGGCAGAGGGAAGGCCCTGCCCAGAGAGCCAGGGTGGCTGGAGCAGCTGGAGTTTAGAGTGGCCATGGGTTCCCTCCAGCCCTGGGGTGTACAGCGACCACAGAGCAGCTGACAGCCCTAAATAAGGACTGGGAACAGAGGGTGGAACTGAGGAGAAGCAAAGCTTTGTAAGAGGAGCTGCATTTGGACTTGTGATCCACCGAATAAATGAGCAGTGTGTCGGTGCAGATCAGACACAGAGGTTGAACATGAGGCAGAAGTGGGCAGTAAAGGAGGAAGGAGTTGAACATCTACACTGAATTCTGGCATTTCTCTTCATGGCCCTGAGAGGTGGTCAGACAGTGATAGAGGAAACACTCCTTGCTGTGCCTCACTTCAGGAATGCTCTTCATGTGGGTAGACTTTTGGTCGTCTTACAACCAACACACATTTTCCTAGCCCAAACAAGGCAAGGCACATATCATGCTGTCCCAGTCCAGAAGGGCAAACAAATTATTACCACTATCAAGGTATTTTAAAATAAAATATCTTAACGTTCAAGGCCAGTCTGTCCTGGGGATTTTATGTTTTTTTTCTCTGGAAAGTCTTGTCTCAGTTCTCTGCTCTGATTCTTCTTAAGATTGAAACAGCCTGAACATCCTTTTGTCAGCTTGACTAAAGCCCAGCTGGGCTGTAGCAGCCACAGCACTTGGTATGCTTGGGTGGATTGCTTGTTCCACTGCTGGAAGTGATTCTCAATCCCTGATATGGTTTAATACTGTAAGGCCTGCTAAAGTGGATTACAGATGTGTATAATGCAAGTCAGGGCAGGCTCCAGGTCAGCAGTCCTGCAAAGAACGACTTCAGGGACCAAGGCTGCTCCTCCTCTGAGCACAGCCAACACCACAGACCCATCCCTGAATGGGTACCTTGGAATGGCCATTTTCCAAAGCTGGGGCTTTGCATTCTCCAAGGGGACTTCTGCAAAGAGGCCAGTTTAGTTTGAATGCTCTGAGATTCCCTGGGATTTTTCCACACGGCCAGCTGGCACCTCTCCTGGAGAAGCACATGCTCACTAACAAGAACAGGACCCTCCCCAGCCAGGGACCGTTTCTGGTCAACTGTCCCCGACACAGCTGAGAGACAATGAGGCCCTTCAGGCCACCATCTCCTTTGCCAAGGACATCACTAATTCCCGGCGGTGGCTTGATTCCATAAGCAGTTCAGTGAGGTGACTTTCCAGGTCATCAGCTAATTGCAGGTGAAGTGCCAGAGACTGTCTCCAGCAGGAGAGAAAGTTGGGAACTCTGAGGGAAGAAAGGGTGTAAAACATGTTTGCTCAGCTCTCTTGAGCTGAGCCATCTCTCCTGGGGCAGCTACAGGGAGGTAGGAAAGGGCTGGGTGCCTTGGAAGAGATCTAGAGCCAAGTTCCTCTGCAGCCTGAGGAATCCTGGAACATCACCATGGCTGAGCCAGACAGGGGGACACACTCAGCCTGGACCGTGGGTGGACTTATTAAGGCTTCTGGTCTCCCCACGACCCCTGGCTATTTGTGTGATAGATCACTGATTATTCCCTACATAGCTTCTCCTTTGAGTCTAACAAAGCCAGGACATGGCTCATCTACTGCCCCCCCTGACAGGCCTCTCGGCATTTCCCCACCTCTGTGAAACAGTGAGGAGTGAATAGAGCCCTCTGAAACTCCGTGGCAGAAAAACTGTGCTTAAAAAATCCCCTCTCTTTCAGCACTCCACATTCTTGAGAGGAAGCCACTCTGGGCTCCCCCGTGCTCGCTGGAGTTGGGAGCAGTGAGTAATGCTTGCAGTTGTCCCTGCCCGGCACCACATTCTTTTCTCCAGCATGTAATGGCCCAGAGGAGGGATAAATGGAGATTGCTGGAGCAGCCTGCAGTGTGGCTGTGCACACCATGGCCTCATGCTGGACAGGCGTTGGGAAGGGCTGTGGAAGGCTCAGCCTCATTTTACTGAGGGGCTGGTTACCCCAAACAGCAGGTGAAATGGGAAGAAAGGAGAAAAAGCCCTGTCAAGTGTTAATTAACAGCACACCTCCATTGGCTGTGGAATATGAAAATCATCCTGATTGTCCTGTGTCCAGCAGCTCTGCACCAGTCTCCCTGTGCCCACACCTCTGCTCACCTGAGCTGCCCTCAGCCCCAAGCATTTTGCTGCTCACTGGTTTCTCACCACCTCCAGTTTCTTCTATTCTTTGTGTCTCAGTACATTTTCCCACAGCCATCAGTGACCATTTCAGAAGAGGCTGAAGAAAGACACCCCATTTCCCTATTGCTGTCATCTCTTCTTGGCTGCTGGCCTTTTTCCTACCCCACTCCCACCAACTCCCTCCCCAGGAGCTGCCACTGCTTCTTCCTCACCCCATTTCCCCAGGTTATAAACCCAGTTTGGGCTTTACTCCAACCAGTTTCACCTCCTCTCTTGCAAACTGGTGCTTCCAGTACTCACCAGCTCAGCCCAGTGTCTGCTCCTCCAGCCCTGCCAGGCTCCCACTGCACCCAGGAGGGAGCCTGGGGAGATGAAGGGCAGAAACCGGCAGGTCCACCCTGAGCAGGGTACGATGCCAGAGCAGCAGCAGCCAGGCAGAGGATTAAAGAGGAACTAGAGCCTGTTCCCTGCCTTTCATCTGCTTTGAGCATGACACAATCACAGACATTAGCTCTTCAAAGGCAGGCGAGGGTGGCAGAGCCTTGGGAAGCTTCACTCCCGAATACGCTCCCAGGTCTGGTCTCCTGGAGCTGGCAACAGAGTTACCTGGCTCAGCTTTTCCTGTTCCTGACCCAGTAGCCTCAATCTTGTTTCCTTTCCACAGATGTGACTCCAGCTCTGGGGACTCGGGGACATCGCTGTACCCAACAGGGTCCCAGCTTTGTGAGGGTCACCCCTCTCTTTCCCACA